GCAGCCACATTCTGACGCCAACTCAAGTCTCGTGAACCCAACGGTCGTCCTCTCGCTCGCCTCGGCCCCCGGCAGCCCCCGGCGGGCGCCACCCACCGGACTGCCGGCTGGGTTGACGTGCACGGAGTGGCGCGACGGCCGGCGCAGCTGCGTCTCCATCGACTTGGACGTCTTGAGGATGCCCTCGGGCCGGTACTGCGGCACTGGGTGCGGGTGCGCGCTGAACGTCGTGAACTGCTCCAGCGTGCGGTCCACGCTCGCCTCCATCGGGTAGTTGGGCGAGTACTCGGCCGCCCAGTGCACGCGCGCGCCGCCGTGCGAGCGCTCCAGCGTGCGGTACGGCCGGTCGGCGGTCGCCTCGCGCCGCGCCGGCCGGCCCAGCGTGCTGTACGGCCGGTCGGGGATGGAGCGCGAGCGCGGTAGGCTGTGTACGTCCCGCACCAGCGTGCCTGCCGACGGCGGGGGCGCGGTCACGGGCGGGGGCGACGCGAGCCGACGCGGGAGGGGACGGCGGGGGCGCGGTCATGGGCGGGCGCGACGCGAGCCGACGCGGGAGGGGACGGGCAGGGTGCAGTCGCGGGCGGGCGCGACGCGAGCCGACGTGGGCGGGGCTGGGGCTGGGGCGGGCGCAAGACAACAGGCCAAAGGAGAGGTGGGGGATAGCTCCACCGAGCTGCTATAGAGACGGGAACAACAGCAAACTGACTTGGATATGAAGTTCATAGTATATAAGCTGAGGTCAGCGACAACTGCATCATTGCAATTTTTTGTAGTTCATAGTGTGAATAAAATCAAACACGGCCACCTCGTGCGCCTCACACAGTCACAGAACCGCTCACAAAAAACAACACCCTCGCACACAATAAACAGCACATGACCATTCACGACAGCAAAGCAGACAAGGCAGGAAGCACGATCCGCCACGAAAGGGACTCTACCCAACAAAAGAGGAGCGATGACAGCGCCAGGTCGGTCAGTACGATGGAGAGAACGCGATGAGACAGGGACAGAGACGACAGAAATTGCGACGAGGCGGGGACAGACCGAGACGGAGACCGTGACGGAGACGGAGACGGGGAGGCCATACATCGAGAGAGAGACAGACTGGGAGACTGACCCGTACCGTAGGAGGGAACGCTGGAGACGTCGGAGACGGAGCGCGGGAACTCGTTGACGGACGTGTTGGGCGTGTTGAGCTCGACGTCGGCACTGCCAGAGCCTTGCGACATCTCCCTGCGGCGCCCGGTAGCCCGTCAGTCACCGGAGCCGGCAGTGCCGCCGCGCAGGGCTGTTTACAGCTCAGCAAACCCGGGGAGAGGTGTGGCTTCAGCCGGCGCCCGCCGCGCCCGTGAGGTGATGATGAAGCGCAGGGTACGGGCTCATGCCGCGAACCCGGACATACGGCGACGAAAACTCTGGATCCGCCGCTGAAGTGAAAGACATCTTACAACTAAAGCTTGGACATTCTTGCTTCCTGAACAATGCCAGCCGTGTCGTACGACGCCCGACCAGCGACACAGCAGCTGACGCTACAGTCCAGCGTACGGCGCCGCGTCACAGCCGCTGGAGCCGGCAGCCAGAGCGGCGGCACGGCTGGCCGGCGGCGGCCGCCCGCTGCGCGACCGGTGCCGACGGGCGGCCGTTCCCTTCCCCTCCCCGCGGAAGGGCGGACCGTCACCTGTATGGCCGGCCCCGCGTCGGGATCGGAGTCGGCTTGGACGAGTAGACGATGATGCCGCATATGACGAGGAAGAATGACAGGAAATACAGCACGTGAAACTGAAAAGGGACAGACGTTAAAATGGCGCTGCGTCACCTTCGCGAGCGACGCTCGGCGGAGTTGGGCAATGCTATCGCATCACACTGGAAGCGTATGGCTTACGTTTCTGCGGTGCATAGCGCCGCGCTACTGGAGGGTCACCTTTCGCCAACGTGCTGTCTAATACTCGGCCGGCTGGCCAAGTAGTAGGAAGCCACCACCAGATATGCGTTAGATGGCACCATCCGGGTCACTACACATACTGGGAGGGAGATAACGAAAAACGCCGGTTCAGTGGGAAACATGAGTTACAATCGCGATCTCTAGCAAAATCGCAAAACGCTGAGTCGACGAATGATCGTGGGGGGTCATTTTGCGCTGAGCCCATGAAGTGATCCACTAGTTCAACACGCTGGACGAAAGTAAGAGTCATAATAGTGATGGCTATTGGGTCTGTTTGGCATAGCTCCATAAAGCGAAACCACAAGCTGGCGCATTCATCTACTGCGTCGTGTAAGCGTCCGAACAGAGGATAAGTCCACTTAATTTGAAGATATGTTTGTTTAAGAGTCGATTCGACGCGTATCAAGTGCGCTGATTCGTCAATTCCGTGTTATGAAACTAGGCCCAGACTCGGACGGGAGAGGCCGGCCGAATCGGCAGAAGATGCCGCCATTGTCCACAGACCCTGCCCACCTTGAAATGGAAGAGCAGGATGCCGGCGATCAGTGAGAAGAAGTCTGAGGTGAGCAGTGAGAGGTTGACGCTGGTGGCGCTGGTCACCCGCACCACCACCGGCATCATGGCGTAGAAGCTGAACTGGGCCAGCGAGAAGCCGGCCAGCAGCGCCGCCACTCGCCAGTCGGTCCAGTCCAGGCCCAGCACCTCGTCCCGCTCCATCACCGCCCTGTCGCACGCAGACGCGATGACGTGTCAGTCAACACATCCTGCCGACCCGCCGGGTGGCGGCGAGCGTGCGGGTCCGGCCTCGCTGCGCATGACATGTGCAGTCGGACCGACGCACATCGCCACGTGGGTTCGATTCCCATGCCAGGCGCCGTATTTTTGCGACAAGGACGGGGAACTTGCCAAAGGACCGGGCGGCGGTGTGGTGGCATTACATCAAACGCAAAATTCACCAGCAATACCTGGCTAACAGTCTCGGTACGACAATCTAATGGTTTGGACCAGCTGCATAGTCGGATCGGTGTCCATAAACCAAGCATTGCCACGACTACCAGTGCCCTTCAAGCGAACAATTAACGTGATATTATCCGTCAAAAAGGAGACGAGCAGGAGCCCCTACCCGCCGCCATATCTTACCATCAGCAACAAGGAACCCTCGTCGCAGCGCGCACATCGTCAAACGAATGACGTCGGGCGCCCCTCGCTGCTGTGACAGCTCTGCTCCAGCACAAAATACTCAGTGACGACTCAGCGCCGGACAGCCCCGCTTGCGTGACCGATGCGCACGAGTTCACTTCGGACGCACCAGCCCCGCAGCCACGCAGTGCGGACGCGAGAGCGCGTTCGGCGGCGCGTGAGAGGCACGACTCACAGCTGGACGCCGTTGATGATGCTGCCGAACAGGCCGATCATGCCCAGGAACTCGACGACGCTGAAGTTCTTGACGACGAACTCCTGCCCGACGTTGGAGATGCCGTAGAGCGTGGCGCCGCCCAGGCAGAGCATGTCGCCCACCAGACGGTCCTGGCCTGTGGGCGCGCCGCGTGGAGGTCACGCTCGCGCCGCGCCCGGGGTGTGAGCGTGAGCGTGTCCGGTCGTCCACGCCAAGGAGCGACGGGGAGCGGCGGGGTCTCAGCTACACCCTGGCTCACTGTGTGGACTCCCCGGTGTGTTCAGAACCGCCACCAGATGGCCCAGCAGGGCAATCAAACAGATGTCGTCGCACAGAGACGTCACCGTGAACAAGTGGGCTCACTCACTGGCAATAATCATGGCGTGCGCAATGTGATGATCACGGCTCAGCACGATCACAGCGACAATGGTTGTTACCGTATCACCACTGTCGCAATAACTGACACCTTGAATTATGTCTTATCGTTCTGACTTGACTTGTAACTCGACGGTACCAGAAGGACACCACCACACACAGTCCCAATCTCGCAGCATTGCTCTGGTCGCGGTGGATGCGTAAGCGGGTGGGACGGCGGCCGGGCCGCGACACGGAGCTCAGCTCACCTCCGACGGAGCCCCGGCCCTCCTCAATGTCCGCCCACACTAGGCAGCCGACGCCCACCAGGCAGATGCTGACGCCGATGATGTGCAGCAGCTTGTACCGCACCTTCAGGAAGATCCACGACATGGCCAGCACCGTCGGGATGGCGAAGCAGTCGAGCAGCTGCGGGAGCGAGGCGCGCTGGTGACGGGCACGCGAGGCACGGTGTCCGCATGACGAGGCGACCGCCAGGCGACAGCGGGGCTCACTGGCCGACCCACAACCAACGCCGCAGCCTCACGCCGGGGAAGAGGCCGGAGGAGCCAACGCTACTTCGAATAATATCCACAGGAACGGCAGGGCTTGAGTTACGCGCGGGCCAGTCAGTGAGATAATCCAACGACGGCATTCCACGGCTAAAGGGACATAGTCATTGTGATGATTGAATATAATTTTTTTTGTCCGACCGTAGGACGACTTCTTTGTTTTGTCTTTGTCTGAAACCTGTAGCCAATGTCCACATCATGAAAAGCGATGCGAGGAGACCTATAGCGACTTCCTGACGCAATACGAATTACGTATAACACAACGCACCAACTGGTTCACGAAAATATACCCCACAAAAAACACTCACCAGAATACCAAACCAGCAAACAACCGGAGGCGTCCACCCCGCGATACAGCGGGCCCATGCTTACCGTGATGCTGGTGAGGGTGGTGTAGTTGTACGCCTTGACGACCAGGTAGTTGGCCTCCACGTCGAAGGCGGCCAGGATCACGTACTTCCAGCCGCGCTTCCTGAGCACGGCGACGATGCCGTCGTCGCCGGTGCGGCAGGCCAGCCAGGTGGTGAAGAGCAGGCAGAGCAGCGCGTAGTTGGCGAACGTCTGGGCTGTGGACGGACGGGGCAGAGCACGCGTCAGCGGGGCGGACAGACGAGGCAGAGCACGCGTCAGCGGGGCGGACGGACGGGGCAGAGCACGCGTCAGCGGGGCGGACAGACGAGGCAGAGCACGCGTCAGCGGGGCGGACGGACGGGGCAGAGCACGCGTCAGCGGGGCGGACGGACGGGGCAGAGCACGCGTCAGCGGGGCGGACGGACGGGGCAGAGCACGCGTCAGCGGGGCGGACAGACGGGGCAGAGCACGCGTCAGCGGGGCGGACGGACGGGGCAGAGCACGCGTCAGCGGGGCGGACAGACGGGGCAGAGCACGCGTCAGCGGGGCGGACAGACGCGGCGGCCGTTGCCCCAAGAGGCTTGACCCGAGTGCAACGTTAGGAGAGTTCTGCACGAATAAACGTCCACTGGCAAAATATGCATGCGCAAAAAGCGCGGCGATACGCCCGGCTAGTCATGATCCGTACCAAACACGCATCATAAACACCCCGTAAACAGTGATACCCGATCATCCCCCCGCCTTCTGGCATGCACTGCCAACATCAAGACCGAGCGAGCAGGCGAGCTCGACGCTGGCTCGACTCGACGCGAGCGACTAGGCGCGAGCTCGCCCTGCATGGGCGTCGTCAGGCGCCGCTGCCGGCGGCGACAGTCTGCCCACCTGTCGGTATGCTGATGCCGTACTGCTCGGTCAGCAGCTGGCTGGTGACGCCCGTGCACATGTTGAGCACCGACAGCAGCTGACCCAGGAATATGGCCCGCCACACCGACCTGCCGGCATCAACGAGCGCGACAGTGAGCGCTGGGCTGTGGTCCCGCCCGGATCGACTGACCCAGCGAGCTGGAAGCGGGTTCTGGGAAGGGCTGATGTCGCGCCTGGATCGGCTAACTCAGCAAGCTGAGGGCGGCTTCCGGGAAAGGCTGATGTCCAACGATCGGATTCGGTTGCGATGTCTCAGGTCGATGTGAAAAGACGGTGAGGGTAGCACAATGGGGGAGCACTGTTCCCTGAACACCGAATAACTTGTCTATCACTTCACCGGCGCACAAGCGACGCGCCTTTCGTCGCAAAAGTTGCCCACCTCTACCACCGTGCCTTTAACCCTGACGCTTCGAATAGCCTTCGAGCGCACCCCGATCTTTCCACCCGGACCACGCCACGGACGGCAGGAGGCCGGGCGGAGACCACAGACCACACGAGGCCCCGCACGGGCGAGAGCGATGTCGCTAGAGTTGGCCGGCGTGCGACACGGACCGGCGCACGACAAGGGCCAGCGTGCGACACGGGCCAGCGTACAGGACCGGCGTACAACGCGGGCCGGCGTACGAGGCCGGTTAACGACACGGGCCGGCGGACAGGATCGGCGTACGACACGGGCCGGCGTACGGCGCCGGTTAACGACACAGGCCAGCGTACAGGACCGGCGTACGACGCGGGCCCGCGTACGGGGCCGGTTAGCGACACGGGCCTGCGGACAGGACCGGCGTACGACACGGGCTGGCGGACAGGACCGGCGTACGACACGGGCGCGGTCACACTGTGGACGTCACATCGGTGGGCGCGCGATGTGGACCAGAGTACAGCGCCTAGCCCCGCCGCGCCCCGACGGCAAGCCCAGCGGTCGCTGAAGCCGGGACGGAACCTGCCGTGGCAAGTTCATGGGCGCGCCTGCGCCGCGGATCATTGATGGTACGCCCCACCGGAGCACACCACACGCCGTGTCAACAAAGGCGCCATCAGCCGCAGGCGATCGGCCCCATCGGAGCGTCGCGCGGCTGATTATCATATGCGGGATATTTGTGCGGCTGCGGTCATAAGCGTAGCACGCGATCGTGAGGAGGCTGCGGCGAGGGGACACCGCAACACAGCTGGTGCTGAGTCTCCCACACTGACGACAGTACGCCAGGCAAGCTGCTCATATACGACGAGGTTGTGCAACACAACTGAACGAAAGCATTTGTGAGACCTTTATGACAGTCTTAATACGCCACTTGTCGACCCCGAAGAATTAGCTACCGGAATGTCACAGATGCTCAGCCCATATCAGCACTGTCACATCAGGAAATCAGGAAAACCGAGTCATTCAGCGTAAAGAAACAGGGGCGCTTAGACAGGGTACAAACTTGTACTCCCGTCAGGCTACTTCACCTGCTTTCCCAGACAACATTTGTAATATTTTAAAAACGCAGCTCCAAAACGGAATGCAGGCGAATGCTGCATACAATGTTGTGACGTGCCACAGGCAATATCACATCATTGCGAGTAGCATCATCATTAACGCCAGGCTGGCAAACACTCAATTCATGTTAAGATGGAGCAGGTGTTCAGGTATAGATACACCCGACTGCTACTCGGGTAACTACAGGGTGGCTGTCTGACAGACGTGGTGTCCTTGACAATCGGACAGCATCTCAAGTCAACATTGCGATACCTTGCACGACTTGCATCGCAAACAAACTAACAATCCTCCGGGTATCAAAAACCGACACATGCAGGGCAAGGTACAAAAAGCATGCTGAGCATGCAGTCAAAGCTCGATCCAAACCTAGGCCGCCAATGCATCGGTACCAATTTCCCAGCGGCCTGCCCACGCGAGGGCGCCGCGTCTCGCCCCATCCCGCGGGCGTCTGCTGGGGCAGCGATGGACCCGGCCGATCGTACTCACAGCGCGCCGGGACCGCACAGTGGCGAGAGCACCTCTCCGGGCCGACGCAGCATGTTGGTCACTGGCCGCGCGGCGCGGCGCGGCGCCGGCTCGCCCCGGATCGGGCGCGCCCACAACAGAAGCCCGGCGGCCCCGCACCGCTCCGCCGGGCGCGGACACCGTCGACCCGCCGCGCTAACCCGCCCGGCCGGCGGCGGCGCCACGGACCGCCTCCGCGTGGCGAGTCAGGGCGCCGCAGCGACGCCGGCAGCCGCCTGTCGCAAACTCCAGCCCCTCTGCGGCTGCTTGCAACGCGCCGGCGGTGACGGGGCCCGTGCCTGATTAACGGATGTCTCGGAGAGCCGGCGGTGGCTCCCTCTGTTGCTCGGCACGTGGTGGGCCGGCGAACACTGAACCCGCCAGGGCCGGCTGCCGCGGCCGAGCCGATATGCGGTCCAGATACCGGGGCACTCGAACAGACGTCACGGCGGGCCGTGCCCTTCAACGGTAACAGGTGGCTGCGCGCTAAATCGCGGTTAGCGACTGCGTCACGCTCGACAGTCAGCTGCCTCGGTAACGTCTTCAGGATCTGCTGTGACGCTGTATGTTTGGGTACCCATCCGCAGACACAATATTTTGATCCAGCCGTAACCAAATGTTGGCCACGGTGTGTCCAGGGCGGGTCTTCGCTATGTATGCCGGTTCCAAGCCTTCATGTCTCTCAAGAGACCTTCGAAGACAATCTGAACAGGTTTTCAACTTTTCAATCAGGAGAACAAATATGAAAGAACGTAGAAACGTACATTTAAGTCGATGCTCAAATAACCAAATAGCAGAAAGGCAGTAAAACTGAGAAGACACATTAACGCAACCCTTGTTGGTGCACCGCTTTGGAGACCTGACATGAACACCATTTCCGATCAACAGCAGATACGTTGTTAATTGGGTTGCTGACGATTCCCACAAGTGTTCTGAAAGCCCTACATTGTTTCACATTGAAATGAAAGGCAGTTACATCGTCTTCAAAAGTACGCAGGCTCACAATATGAGAAATCAGCGCCCAGCTTTGCTTAAAGGTATTTCCTAGGCTAGTTTGAAGGTGTCAGGGTGGTTCAAAAATACACATAACCAACGTATATGCAAACCGGGCGGCACTTAGAGTTCAAAACCACGTGGCTCAAACCTACACTGCGTAATGAAAAGTTGAGCCACGACAAAGCCCTATTAACGTATATGCAAACCGGGCGGCACTTAGGGCTCAAAACCACGTGGCTCAAATTACATGCGTAATGAAAAGTTGAGCCACCACAAAGCCCTATAACAGCAGGTTTGGCGGCAGGATAATAACAGAATATACTATATTTGAAATTGGTACCGGCAAAGCGAGTTTATTGGCTACTTTTTATCAATAATTGTTGCAATACTGCCATTCGAATAAAAATTGGTACACATATATCTGGCTGAAGCATTATAATCTGTTATAGGAAATATCTAGATTAGCATCCTTGATAGCCCAAACCTTTGGCTATATCTGGCAATATGCTGCTGCGGCGACATAACAAACCACTGGTTCTGCTGGCAGCATGCAGGACAGCACAGTCATTTTACGCCGTTCGTTGCTTGGCAATCCCGGTGAACATTTTCGTAAGAATAACTGCAATGACACTATCCTGACGTTTATGCAGTAATCTTCCCTGGGTTGTGTCCTAAAAGAGCCCACAAACAAACGAAACATCCAAATTTTAGGCATTGCACCACTGTTATATTCAAGGTTTGTTATCGAAGGTACATCTGTGTTCATCCAGGTGTGTCTATTTATAAACACTGTTCAGGTAATGTGTATATCCAATTGCATGCCAATAATAAAACTTAAGACCTTATAATGTGGAACATAGCATGGACTTTTAGCATCACACCAGGTACTGGTTGTCTTCAGGTTGTCATCTATCATGTATTGATGTTTAAAATACAATCATTGGCATGAAATCAATCATAATATTTCCTACTTCTTATAACAATGACAATGATGTGAACCCATTACAATGAGCACTGCACCAGTGGTCAGTGGTCAGGGATGCCAAAAGAGTCAGGGTCACTCAATTCAAACTCAACTTAACTCACTCCACTCAGCCCCAACGAACGGAGCAGTGGTTTCTGGTGCTCATTTCGAATTTATTTATGACAAGAACCGCATTATACACCTTCTATATGCATTATAACAAGACATATTAAGAGTCGGAATAGGTCACTGACCTAGAATGACCAGGGTCAATATCTTGTTTTTTTTTGTTTTTTTTAAACATACTGCCTAGCGTAATCTATGTCGCTTATCCAAACACAAAACACAAAACGATCTTGTAGGATTTTGGCGACCCTTACCTTCAAAAGGTCAGACGAGGCCACTTGACCTTAGATGAGCATGTGGCCGTCTGCTTGGAACAGGTATCTAGGTTCCAGGGGCCCTTTGGAGAACAACCTGTAATTTGACCTTGTTTGATCTTATTTGACCCGAAGGTCACAACCTAAGAACCTCAAGCTGTGACCTAAGTGAGATCATGTACAGGTCAATACACCCGGTGAATTTGGTGTCTCTAGCCCTCTTAGTTCTTGAGATCTCAGGGAGGTCAAACTGACCCCCCACACCCGAGCGAAGGGTGTCCAACCGGCCACCCGGGCGCGTGTTAGCATTGAATGCACCGTTGCCGCCTTCTCGGTAGTTGCACACTCAGTATATCCCCTCCATTGAGCTGACCGCTCGTTTATACGTGCCACCGGTTTAAAGTAATCCGCATCTGGACCGCAGTTAGGAACGTTTCTTGACAGCAAGGGTGATAATCGTCTCCAACCTTAGTAAAAGTCGTCCTTATTGGATGTAAAACATGACATGGGAATACGGGCTCGTGTTGGAATATTTGACCAGCCACAGCTGTTTTAACCATCGGAGACATAATAGCACACGTATTGAAACTTACTTTATTGGAGAGAACGGCTTAGAAGCATTCTAAAAAAACCATCATTAAAAAACACGTGTGCGATGTCTTTCAGCATATAAATGCCCTGAGGCAATCCCATAGTGACGTCACCATGGCATTGCCAGGTCCAGCCCCGACTAGGTTCTGCCCCCCTTCCCCCGCCCCCTGAGCCACGATTCAAAACCGCATTTGACGTGGTATGAAATCAGTCCAACAAGCGGGTCAGGTTGCCTTCACCTCGTACATGGTAAGGTCACACCAAATCAAGTTCTAAACCGCTGTGGTAAAGCTGCAAGGACAAACTTGCCACTTTCACCAAGAGCTATACGGCACGTGCATATGACACATGACCGCCAAACTCACTTATGCTGAAAGTCAAGACCAGCCATCGAATAGTCTATTGCGACAAGCCGCGCGCGAATGCTAGTGCCAGTGCTAGTGCGTTGCGACGCCAGATGTCGTTGCTCAGGGACTGCAGGCTTGCTTGTTAATCACGGGTTCGTGGTTTCCAGACTCGATGACTGCTGCGTCCCAGTTTCCATCTACAGTCGATGTGTGATACTGCGATGTTACATTATGTGCAAGGCTAGTGCTAGACACTTGATACACGAGGGTAGTATACAATGTTTTCATCAATTTCAATCCATCAATTTGAAACTCATCATCTAGGCACGATTTCATTACCGAAAAAAGACACCGAAAGCCATTTGCAGTCTTTCTATGCCTGGTCCTCAGCATTAGTACTGAAATAATTCGATACCATTAAGGGTATTTATTGTTTTTAGCTTGGATTCACCTCTTCGCCAGTCCCCTATCACACACAAGCCACGTATGCTCACTGCTTCTGGCATACCTACGTTCCACCATATTGTATGTGCCTTTCTCATGGCTGTTTCTTGCGAGCGTCCGTCGTTTGCGGCTAAGTCTACAGTCAACCAAGATCTTCCAGAAGGGTTAAGTGCAAGCGAACTGACATGTTCACTTTCACTGCATACATACACTTGATTGATGCAATATTCACGTTTACTGGCCATCCGCACAGTGATGTCACTCCTCCTTGTTCGTCAGTTAAACAAGATTTATAGAGCTGGCTTGCAAGTCCCGATTACATTATCAGAAGAACGCCTTGTGCGGCGCGTGACGAGTGATATTATAGAAGATGTAAAAGTTGCGCACTGTTTATCATGCACATAATATCGAAAACTAAGCTAAGAAGACATGGCAAATTGGGAGTACTTGTCCTGAAGATGATCAACCTTCTATATGCCAGGAGGGACCGGTTAATCACGTTGTCAACCAAGCATCACTTTTCTTCGCAAAACTTCACGATCCTACCTGTGCTCATGATCACAAATAAGGCTTGCATGACAGCGTCCATTTATCAGTTCCTCCTGGCCCACTGAGGGCCGACTATTTTCAGCATAAAAATGCCCACCTCATAACGCCCAAAAACCACGAGCTCCACGCTATTCTTGCTGATATGCAGTGGGGTCAAACATATACAAGCAATACCGCTCGGTTTCACCAAAACGTCTAAACTCTACCAGTTCGGAGAATTTAACAAGTGGAGGTCAATCGACATTAATTCCCCAAATAATTCACTGCTAATGTTTGTTGAAAAAACGCTCGGCTGTGGGACAGGTTAGTGATAGGCAATTTAAGCCCACGAAATCAATCAATTCACGATGACCTAAAGCCTTGGTAACCATAACCAAAAATTGTGAAAAATGCAAACAAATCATGATGATATTAATTACAATAGCTAGGGTTGTTGGCCAGTATTATTTTCATACCAGCCTGGCTTTTGGTCCATGCCGATCAAAGGTATCATGGCACTCTTAGACCACAGCACCTTATGTTCAAAATCAAATTCCCACAGGATGACACTGGTTGCTTTCTGGTCTATTGCTGGTGTCCCCAGGGTCGATATGATTCACTAGTGACTTGTAGTTAGTTCAATTATGAACCCTGCACAGCTGTTTTCATTGTTTTGTCTTCTCTGGTTGCTGTGATGGGACAAAAATTCTTAAAAATGCCCCAAATGGGTCAACTCATCATATGTGCAAGCAAGTGAATGCCTGTATGCAAACATCAACCCATACTGTTTGCCAAAATATG